TCCAGTTCAAAATAACTTACTTTCTCTCTGTCTTCTATTTGTAATATAGAGCTTTTGGACATCTTTTGTAGATTACATGGAACAATTAAATCTGTTTTCTCTTTCTTATGCTGTCAACTCCTTTCATTTACCATGCTGATTCACATCTGATCAGTCACGTTTACCAGTCTGCTCATTAAATGTCTTTGTAAATACATGGGCAACCATCCACCATCCCTTTCACCATGACAATTACCCAGCCATCTTGTAACAATTAACAAAGAGTCTTCATCTTCCAACCAAAAGGGTTTGACTCTAAATGATGATCCCTTCCTGTCTTTCTGCCTCTGTCTGTTGCTTCTTTTATTTGTTGGTATTCATACCAGTTTATTTCTAACAATATACAAACACTCACTGGTCACTTTATTAGATAAACTTTGCAAGCACTGGGTTGGACCCACCTTTGACTTCAGAAGGACCTTATTTTTTTGTGGTACAGATATTTGAGCTTTCTCACATGGTGTAGTATCTTTCGGAATAAGTCATCAGAGTTGTTATAAAGCAGGGGTGTCCAACTCCAGTCCCCGAGAGCTACTGTCCTGCAGCTTTTAGATGCATCCTTGTTCTGACACACCTGAATCAAATGAGTGGTTTTTTACCAGGCCTTTGCCAAACTTGATGACATACTGAAGAGGTAATCCAATCATTTGATTCAGCTGTGTTGGAGTAGGGATGCATCTAAAAGCTGCAGGACAGTAGCTCTCGAGGACTGGAGTTGGATAGCCGTGTCATAAAGGACTGGATATAGTCAGGAACAATAGTGAGATCGGCATATTAAAAGTGTAGTGGCAAGAAAACATCCTGCACACTGTTATATCACCATAGTGATTCAAGGAAGGGTACAGCCATAATTTCATGTTGTACAACTAATTCTGACCCTACCTTCTGAATGTCACAGCAGGAATCGAGGCTTATCAAATTGATGAGCAGCAATTTTCAGCCTTCTCCTTTTCACGTTTGGTGGGCCTGTGCGAACTGTAGCTTCAGGAGTGGTACTTAGTGTGGTCTTCTGCTGCTTGAGCTCATCTCCTTCAAGGTTTGATATGCTGTGCCTTCAGAGCTGCTCTTCTGCATACCTTTTTTGTAACCAATAGTTATTTGAGTTACTTTTACTACCTTCCCATCAGCTCAAAGTAGTATGGCCATTCTCCTTTGACCTCAAGGATTTACAAAAACATTTTCACCAAGAGAACAGGCCTCACTGGATATTTCTTTTTTTCAGACCATTCTCTGTAAACCCTAGAGATGGCTGTTTGGGGAAATTTCAGCACATCAGCAGTTTGTGAAATACCCGTTTCAAATCAACATGCTCAAAGTCACTTAAATCACCTCTCTTCCCCATACTGATGCTCAGTTTGAACTCCAGCAGATCTTCTCGAATATGTCTACATGTCTAAATGCATTGTTTTGCTGCCTTGTGATTGGTCGATTCCATTATTGTATTAATTTGAACAGCTGTTCCTAAAACATTGGCTGAGCATATATACTGTATTTACAGTATATAGAGAGACTCAGCAGTGTTGGCCTCCTTATTGAGTATTGTATGAAGCAAATCTTGTTTGAGAGACACTAAGTGAACATCGGTTGTTTGGTTTATCCTGGCTCACATCCAGCAGTCTTAGCCAGAACAAGCAGCATGAACTTGGCTTAAGTTACACAGAAAAACATGATTGGCTACTGTCCAATGAAAGATTCTGGACAGTCTGCTGGGCAAATCTTGGCCATGATGATCCCATTGTAGGCCTTTACATTGCCTGACAGCTGAGCTTTCCACTATGTAATTTGTGCCATATGACTCGTATGCCCTTGCAATCCAAGAATGTGAGGGTTTCTGAGTTAGAAACCTCAATTACATACATACACGAAAACAACACAGCAGAATACAGGGCATTGTTTTCACTTCTCACCTTTGCACATATTTTATTCTTACCCAGCTGTCATAACCAATGAGAAAATAAATCCATATTTTTGGTCACATTTATAATCATTTTTTTTTATGCACTAATCCATTCAATTACCTCCTTCTCTACATGCAGTAGTTTTAATTTTAATTGCGGGGTCCAGTTCACTCACTCTACAGCAGATTTACTGTAATCAAGTCAGCATAAAGGTTTGCAACTGTATCTCACTTACACTAGCTTCAGCGCTCACACTTCACTCACTCTTCACAGCTGCGTAGAATTACTGCCAATTCAGCTAATTCAATATCAAATAGAAGCGGTTGGGTGTGTGTGCACCCTGTGAATACTGTGAAAGCATCGTGAATTCAGCCTGGGAGTTAATGGTGGATCCGTTTACTAACAATAAAAACAACTGCATGGAGGATTCATTCAAAAAATGTAAACGCACTGAAGTCTTTGGATTTTCACCCCATTTCTGATCACATTTGTGGTCAACATCTTATTTGCCAAAGGGCTGTAACTCTCAGACCGTTGCAGATGTTTCCTCTCAGCAATCACAAAACAGATAATCAGGTTTTAATTATTACTGCCGTCCATTCATTCCCATGCTCGTCTATTCCCTTGTCACGCTGCATTTCCAGGACTGTGTGTTGGCTGTAACCATCCAAACAAAGGAGCCTCGGTCTGGAGTCACATGCTTCGTCAGCAGCGGTGATTTCAGCTGCCTGGCCCTCCGCCCTTCTGGCTAATGTAGTCCAAGAGAATGAGAGTGGGGTGACTTTTCTACAGAGAGCTCCACAGAGAAGAGAACACACAAGGACAGCCCCTCATCAACCCACCTACTCACCCACACAGACAAAACACACTTTGAGCTTGTGGCTCAAATTGGCACCTCATTAGAGTTGGCAGTCTTGGTGGAAGTTTTGGACTTACAGAATGACACGCACGCACATACACACTGCTTCAGTCCAGCTTTCCATTTGGCCAGAGAGGAAGTTAAGACTTGGACTCAAGCGGCCTGCTTCTGTGCTTGTCCTGCTGCTCTGGGAAACTCACCTCCCAGGCGACCAGCGTTGCCATGGCACTAATCCTGACAGACAAAAGATAGGAGTGCCACAGAGCATGATGCTTCCAGGGGTTCTCATTGGTTGGCACCATCCCACGAGATGTTGTGATTGGCCAGAACTGTGTTTATATACAAATTGCAGCAGTCAGAGGTCACTTCCATCGATCTTGGTGGTGACATGAAGGAAATCTGACCCCAAACCCTCAAAACACTAAATGGGCTTAATTCTTATTTGATGCACACACACATACATCCACACACCCGAACACACAGAGCGGCTCTTTCTTAACTTCAGTGTCCTGGGAGTGCACAATTAACTGAATACTGAGAGAGAGGGAGGGAAGTGACATAATAGCATCTGTGGTACACAAAAGCACAGACGTCAACAATACTAAGAATGCATTTAGGGCACTGAGTTCAACACTTTACACACCTATACAAAATTAGGATTAACAGTGGATAAATTGTATTGTGTATGCAAGTACTAGCTAAGTCTCTGCTCTTTCATTTGATGAGGGGCCCCAACAATCTACTCAAACACAGTAATTACTATAATCAATAGGCTTACCCACTCTCCTTCAATTTGCTTATTCTTTTTCTTATATACTTGAGAATGATATCAAAGTTCCTATCTAAGTCTTGGCAAGACAGCTAAAATAATCTCATTTTAATGCCAGTTAAAATAAAATAGTATTTCTTGTCATCCAGATAATTTCTGAACGATCCTTATTAACTGCTTAAATGGTTCCACTAAGCCACCATCCCAGCTGGTACAAATAGAAGCTGTTTAGCTGTTTACTAGCAAACCTTGAGGGCTATTTAAAGCTGGTTGGCTAAACATGGAAAAAAAAAACCCAACAGTGTAAGGACAGACACACGGTAATGCGCAGACACAGCATAAGTTTCCAATAATAAGTGAAAAAAAGAGGAATATTTGCCCAGGTTTAAATGAAGCATTTCTCCTAAAGACATTATTATTTTCCTGGAAATTTGTACCAAATGACACAACTGGTTTCCAAGAAAAGTCTTGGTAACTGTTAGGAAATAAATTAGAAAATTACAGCGCCATATAAATAAAGCTTTAGCAAACAAATTTATGTGATCAAAACTGTATTTTTTCCACATTTCTCTTTATGCACAGTGTATGAATTCAATACTCAAAGGAGAAAGAAAATGAGAATAAGAGAATATGTGACTATCCAAGTGAATTCCTTGCATGTGAAATGCCACAAACTACTCCCAAGATTGCATGTGACTGGATCAAACTTCAGATGTTCACACACCCATGACATAAAGTCGAGCACAATGTGGGCCAAAGCAAGAGCCAATGAGTTTGTGGCGTTTTTAACATCGGGTCAGAGTTTGGTGTGTGGTTTTGGAAACTTGTACTGTACACTGTAGTTCTGGCTGCAGCTCAGAGCTCCTTCCCAGGCTCCTGCAGCCTTTAACATCAACATTATTGCCGCTCCACTGAGCTAGCAGAAGGGAAGTTTCTCCAGCAGCGACCATGCATTACATGTTCAAAGCACAGAGGATATATCAGGTGTCTAATATCAAAATCTAATCTTATTTCACCAGCTCATCCTTGGAGCCACATGAGGATATGTGCAAGTTATTAGTTCCCCTGCATCCTGACCCTCTACAGCTTTTCTCATGTGACTTTCTCCAAGTTTTTCAGATCAGTTTCCAAATCTCTTTGCGTGAGACTCAGGCAGGTTTCCCCCTTTTCCTTCTCACTATTAGCTTTTCATTAAAAAGGTTACACTGAAAATTGTGTTATGACTTTAAGCATACTGGAGATCGAATAATACTAAGAACAGAACTTTATTGCTTAATCACTTTCACACAATACTAACACTTGAGAAAGGGTAAACATGTGAGAGGCTGTTTTGTAATACTTAATCTTTGTCAGACATTGGGGTAAAGCACAGTCAGTAACCTTTGTGCTCAGTGCTTACAAAATTTATATTGCTCAGGGGGAGTTTTTAAAAAAAAAAAATTTCTTCATTTCTTTTTTTTATCATCTGTACCTTCACTTAAGTAGCTGATGTATAAAGCTTCCAAGTAAACGCATGCACATTTATACTGGATTCTTGGGCCAGGATGTACGAGGACATAGTTGTCCCAAACCTCTTCAATAGTTACTCTTCCTGAACAGATTTTTTGTTCTTCAAGAGCTACTGCAAGGCTCCGTTAGTCTGCGCTGATATTCGTCCAGCAGGTCCGTACGTCTCCTTTCACCACAGCTACTAGATGCTTAGCACTTCATTACCCATATTTAACAACTACGGCACCCTAAAAGCCTTTTATTTGACAACAGTGGTCTTTCTCAGCTGAGGCAGGTACCCGTGGTGAGAAAGGGGAAAAGGCCAAGAAGAAGAGAAAGGGAACAGAAAAGGAGACAATAGCGAGGGATCAGGTGAGGAGGTGGAGCTGCTGGAATAGTTACCCAGTAAACTGGCTCATACCGATGTCAGAGTAAGTTAGAAATCCTTTATGTAGCATTGTGCATTACTGCTCTATGAATATTTCAGAGATCACACAAACCCACTGCAGCTCAACAGTGCCCCCCAATGACAAAACAGACTTATGAATGTTAATGTGCTGCCAATAACTGCATGATCTGAGAACATGTTATCTATTATAACTCCAAAGAATCAACACTCTGTTTACCCGCCACTGAACAAGTTTTCTTTAATAATTTGTTTCTTTGTTAAATGCTTAATTTAAGCTGCAAAAGATACATTTGACGCAGATAAACATTGACCTGTTTATAACATTCATTAAGTAATGCGTCAGAATTTTTATCTGACCTTAGACAACATTGTATATGGCACCAACAATCAAAACATTGTTTTGGTTTCCACCTCCTGTAGAACTGATTGTATTACAAAAAGCCCAAACTGATTTTTTTAGTAAACACAAGAAAGATACAAAAAAGTGCAATATTAAGGAGACCCTTGGCAGGTGCTCTGGCAATAATCAGCAATCAATCCCTTTGGCATTTGTGTAGCAGACGTAAATCAGTATGTGTGAGAAATTAATTCTGGTGTTCCTTTGCAAACATTATGACTCATATTCATTTGTTCATGTCTTCCCCCTTCCCCCCTCATTTTGTTCCTTAACATATCTACATCAATTAATGCCCATCTAGTAGATGGTTTGCCATGGTTTTAAACAAAGAATGAGCAGCTGCCTCAAATAAATCTAAATGCTCATTGCCCACCATCATATTCCAGCCAGAGCCAATAATGCTAACCGTCAGTCTAAAATGTCTCAGCTCTGAGTAAACCACGCCAAATATTCTGCTGCTGGCTGCAAGGGTGAACAAAGACCCTGAAGATTTCTTGCTTTTTTGGTAAAAAGGTTTGTACATTAGCACGTTTGCTACCCTTTTTCTTCGTGTACTCATACAGCAAAGATTTCCAGTAAAGTGTTCTCATTACAATATTTCCCGGTTTCTGTTTTCAAACAAACATGAAATAATGACTCAAAGGCAGCCTGGTGTAATGCAAACCAGCTGCCACTCCAAAGCCTTTTTAACCTGCTGCCCAGATGTTAATACAGCTGTGACGTCACCTGAGAATCAAACCAGTTAGAAAGGTGACAGCGATGTATAAAATGCTCCTTTTAAACTTTTTTTTCTTTAGTTGCCTCCCTCATGCCAGCTGACCGGGCTTTTCAGGAGGGGAGAATTAAAGAGAAAAGCTCAGGAGTGTTTGAGAAAGCTCCTGCAATTTACACTTGAGGTGTATTGAAACATTAAACCATATAAAGCTATCCTGGTGGACCCCATAAGCTTGTGAAATGAGCATAATAACAACTGACATGACATGGTGAGTTGATCCTTATCAATTGGTTGTGCTTTATGACAGATAATATTAAAATCTTGTTTCCTATGTATACTGGTCAAACGTATTCTCTAGATATCCAATAAAAGTCCCACCCATAAATAGTAATTTTTAAAATGAACAACACATTTTCCCTGAAACCATAAACTTATCTCACAGAAGAAATTAAATAAGTTACCACTTTGTAACATCGTAGGTGCTGATCTATGAAGGTTTCTGGACTCAACGGGACTGTCTGTAAAACCTCGAAGAAGCAAATTTATGATCAAGACAAAGGAGCATCTTGACTTCAAGGGTTCAAATCACTGTTGGATTCTTCCATGTTTTTGTCTACTGGTGTGAAGCTGCAGGCTGCAGTGTCATCAAAAGACCCATAAGACTGCGGAGCTTGATCGTCATTTTGTGGGATGCTGGCAGGTGATTTAGGGTTGAGTACTCTGGGAAGGTAAACCTGTTAACGTACAGCCAAGACAAAATGGATGAGCAGTGAAAACAAAAGAAAAGCGTGTTTCTCTATACTGATTTTTGTAAATTCTTAACTCTATGTGATGTGATTCATGCAATGCTGAAAGTGGTGGCCAAAGTATGACCTTGTGAAGACAGAAAGGAAAGATACAGCTTCGAAAAAACAAAACTGGAGTCAGCTTTGAACATAAGTGCAGAAACTACTAATAAGGCTCAAAGTTCACGACTTGAACAACCCTCAGGATCCACTGGGTAGACTTCCATTTTAGCTCTCTCGGGTCTATAATCCTCCAACTTTTTGTGTTATTTAAGTGCAGTTGCATTTTCTGTGGCAGCTGAAGCCAAAGTAATTCATCATTATGTTAGTCATTGCTTATTAATGACTAACAGGACAAATGACAAATAGGGCAAATGAATGGACATGCAGGTTGACGTAAGTTCAGGCCCCTCTTAAATATGCCTGAGCTTTAGTAATAATGTGGACATTTTAAAGAACAAATACAGTACCGAAGTGCTTTCGTCCACGCCCTCTCCTGGATCCTCGTCCTCGTCCTTGACCTGAGAGAGAACGCAAACACTTTGAGCACTGATTGTGCAGGACGACATAGAAACAACAGAGTACTGATCACGCACAAGAAAATACTCACCACATAGTTGAGTGGACTGAGGTACTTGAAAAAGCCAAAGCAGGTATAGCTGAGGGAGATGATTATGGTGATACACAGGACCACCAAAGTAAACAGAGATGTGGGTGCCCAGAAACCTGAAACATTGCATGCACACACAAACACAATTTCTACGGAGCCCCTCTGATGACATGGTCCAAAAAATAAATAAATTGTGGCCACAAAATACTACTTCGTGGGCACGAAATGGGTATAATGTGCCCACGAAATACTTATTTGTGCCCAAAAAAATACTATTTCGAGGGCACGAAATGCTAATTTGTGGGCACGAAACACTTGACCAATACCCGTGATCCTTCCCAGGCCCTTACAGTTGGTTGACAATAAAATCTATCCCGGCGTCCAGGTCGTACTTATGTCTGTAAAGCAACTTGGCTCTCAATATCCTGTTTAAATGTCTTTCCGTAATAATGGTTCCTTGAATTGCAGGCTTTTCAAAATGCATTTGTAGCTCATTCCCAGCCTAAAATAAAACTCAATCATACTGTCTCTGTCCATGGTGTATAGGTGTAGCCTACTCTTATGCTTATGTCTCTACGCAGCTGTCCAGGAATTGTATCAATATGATGTTCGCATGTTATCTATTTCGTTGCCACAAATGTGTAATTCGTTGCCACGTTATACCCGATTCGTGCCCACAAATTAGCATTTCGTGGGCACGAAGTAGAATTTTGTGGCCACAATTTATTTATTTTTTGGACCATGTCATCAGAGGGGCTCTGTAGATTTCAAATACAGGTATGGAAAACTTTAATTCATAGCTGACAGGGGGG